ATAATAATATTAATAATAATAATAATAATAATATACTTCATTTCTCACTAGCGCGCTTGACGACCGCGGTGCTGGAGACCGCCGCGGGTGTGAGCGCCGCGCCCATGAACGCCTGGAAGGTGTAGGCCGCGCCGCCCTCACTGCTGCAGAGGGCGCACAGCAGCGCCCCCAGGGCGGCAAGTGCCCTCATCTTTCGACTGTATCGAATTGTTGAAGTTATGGCAAAATACGTGGTTAAATTATAGCAAATTATGTGTTTAAATGTCATAAAGATGTAGGTTCAAATGACAGAAAGATGTAGGTTGAAATGACAGTAAAAATATTCTAGATATTCTACCATGTTCAACAAGCTCTCCCCCATTCCATACTAGAGAGGGTGCACAGCAGCGCCCCGAGGGCAGCAAGTGCCCTCATCTTTTGACTGTATTGACCTGTTAAAATTATAGCATAATACATGGTGGAATTATATCAAATAATATGTTGAAATGACAGAAAAATCTAGGTTGAAATGACAGTAAATAATACTCAAGGTTTTTTACCATGTTCAACTCGCCCCATTCAATGCTACAGAGGGCGATGCTACAGATGATGGCAAGCAGCATCATCTTGTTGAACTTAATTTAACTCTTCAACTGCGTTGATGTGTTGAATTAACAGACATAAATATTCAAAATACCCTAATACGTATGTTGAGCAAACCCCTCGACACTGCTTTCCAAAATATTCTACAAAGTTCAATAATTTTTTGGAGTAATTTATAAAGAGATTGAGATCATGTTGAACATCATCTTGCTGAACTCTACTGACATGTTCAACAACATTGACATATGTTGAAGTGACAACAATAACAATATAATATTCCACTATGATCAAAATATGTCTGAGTATTGCAGAACGAGATTGAGAACGATCTAAATACTGATAGGACAAAAGGCTATGAACATATGCCTTTGTAGTCGATTTATGTTCATATGTTGAATATAAGATAATTCGTTTCCTTTCAGGAATTAAACGTTTCATGAATGTGTTAATCTAACACCATTTCAATACAAGTTGCTTAACCAAACTTTTCTGAAGTTTGGCTTTAATACTCAGGGAAAACTTGATTGGTAGTGCAAGTAAATGGCTTCTGAATTCATTTATTTCACTTAAGCTCAGGATATTGTCAAAATAAATCATTATTACTTGAATAATTTCTTTGCGATTAAACTTTTTCATGTAAGCGTCTGAGAAGAATACTACAAAATTCAGGTCCTGATGACATATGTATGTAAATTTATGTTGTCGAATGACCGATGTTAACACCTGTGCGGTTATGTAGTTGATAAGTTCTATGGTTGCTTCAATTGATATCGAAATAATAAATATATCGTCATAAACAAGATCCTGTTGAGTCGCAGCATGCCACTAATAAATATTGATTGAGTTCCACTATAATTTGATTGATTGTGTCGAAAATTTACCAGGAATTTTAGAGCAAAACAATAAATTCACGAAATCCTGGCAAATTAGTCAGAGGAATTTTAAAGCATAAAAAAATAAATTCACGAGATCCGCATTATTCTAATAAGGAAAAACGTCTTCCTTAAAAAATTGGTGACCTTCTTCTCATTTTATTGTTTTTAAATTATTGGTAATATATGTTGAATTTTTCACTAACTACTGCTCTAATAATTTGCGAATTATATACACGAATTCAAATTTGATCACCTCAGTGGTTTGGCGTGTGGCAACAGTTGAAAATATTTGCCTGATTATCCTGTGTTATGAAGTAAAAATTTCTGTGAGTAAAAATTAGCTCAATGTCAGTCACAACAATCGAAATTCTGACGTCCTACCTGGAAAGCCCTTTCTTATCACTAAATGTACCACAGAACCACAGTTTTCGGTACTCTTGCTCTGAAGAGACAACGCAGCTCACTGCATTTAAAGTAAGTACGTGGGATTACGCACACTGTATATGCATGTGCGTGATTGTGAATATCTGCCTGTGAGTAACAGAGTTCAATATCCATTAAATTCCTTTTAAACTTTCCTAGAAAGATGATTGGGTTGTGCGATGGCCTGTCCACTGCAAATGGAAGCCATCACCGCAGTCCAGCCTGAATGCATGTTGACTTAAGCAAATGGGTTGTAGTTTAAATTGTGGCTGAAGTACATTAGACAAATTATACACCTGAACCTAACCTCTCTCGTGATTGTCTGGTATATGCACGTATTCATACGTTATTCAGAGCATTAAAATGCTACATAAAATAAAAAATAGAGAAATATTAATAAAAGTGCTGCCTTAGTTGTGACTGTAGTTAACCTGGCATCAGCAGTAAAGTGGACCTATCGACCACGTAGCCCGGCATGTCCAAAGACCAGTTTAGTTCAGCTCATTTATGGACGAGCGAAAACGTGCACCGCGCACTGTTTTAAAACCTGGCAGGTAAAATAATTGTTTATGCAGTATTTTTACTTCACGGATTTCCGTCTGTCTTCAACAGGCCTTTTGATTTTTTAGCTGCTCGTCGTGACAAAGGTTTCGTGCCGTATCTATACATATTTTTGTTAGTTCATCATACCATACCTATCACAAACAGTCACACAAGTCAGTTCATCACATCAGCTCTGTCATAAACAGTCACACAAGTCAGTTCATCACATCAGCTCTGTCATAAACAGTCACACAAGTCAGTTCATCACATCAGATCTGTCATAAACAGTCACACAAGTCAGTTCATCACACCAGATCTGTCATAAACAGCCACACAAGTCAGTTCATTACATCAGCTCTGTCATAAACAGTCATACAAGTTAGTTCATCACACCAGATCTGTCATAAACAGCCACACAAGTCAGTTCATCACACCAGATCTGTCATAAACAGCCACACAAGTCAGTTCATCACATCTAGATCTGTCATAAACAGCCACACAAGTCAGTTCATCACATCAGATTTGTCATAAACAGCCACACAAGTCAGTTCATTACATCAGATTTGTCATAAACATGCTGGATTTGGAGACAAGGCTACAAATTCATGTAGGTTCGAGCCTCACAGCTGCCATAAATATCGATTCATGGCCTAGGCTGAAATTTCTTTGACTCAATTTTTTTTACGAAGTTATGGCTGGGACAATTTTGATTTATTTCTTTATTCTTGAAAATCGTTGATACGTCACTAAGAAAAATTTATTGATGATATTGTCCAATTCCCTTTATGACCCATGCACAAGCACGAGCAGAGAACGGAAGTAGCACTGATGCCCGTTTTTACCGTGCCAAATTGGGTCAGGATACACATGAGAGCTTTAAGTGCATGCATCGCTATTTGGACAAAGTTTTCCTCATTTATCTGGATGTTGATTAGGTCTTCCATGTCATGCTTCGTCTTTAGTCGTCATTCGGATGAAAAAAGGCGTCTTTAATCGTCATGATGTTAAAGAAGTTTCGTTTATATTCGTCATCCTGCTGAAAAAAGTTTTTATTCTTCATACTGGTGAAAAAGTATCGTATTTATTCGTCATGCTGGTGAAGTTTTATTTCATTTCTGGTGTGGTGTGAAGAATCTGTTCAAGCGGTAATTTCACGAATATGCTAATTATTTTGTCATTTTTAAACTGTGGCTCAACAGTAAATACTTTCTGGCGTAATAAATATATTTATTATATTAAACATTTTATGTTCCGTTGTCCGTTATTCATTACTTAGGTTTTGATACCTTTCTATTAATTTTAATTTTCCCTGCTCAAATTGTGTTGTTTTCACGGATTTTTAAACTGATGATGGTGCTGGTCTCTGGAATGTTTTCAGTTAAGATATAATGAATTTGCCTGGCCTCGTCTTTGCTTTTAAATTTTTATTTAGTAGATCCCAGTATCAAAAATCGCGCAATTTAATTAAAGTGAAGCTAATATTTAAATACTGCATTTTTTGACCAGGTTGATGCTTTTGCATCTCCTTACAAGGAGATGTTGTTGGCAAGAAGTTGGTTCTTGTGCCAAGTGTGACTGGAATTTTCGTTAACCCCAAGGGCCCGTTATACTAGTCGGCTTGACGGAAAAAATGTCCCACAAATTCAAGGAAAACTTTCCAGTAAATAGAAGAGTTTCGCATAAACTGGGTCAAGCTACCTGCAAGCGCACGAACGCATTCCCCAATATAAAGGAAGCGGTCCAAGAATTATAATAGATGGAAAGTCCGGACAGACAGACACGGTTATGGTTTGGATGTCAGTGACCAATTCATTCCGAATGGCGAGTATTCCTGAGATTTAAAGTTTTTAAAGAGTACCAAGTTCACAGGAATTGAAATTTCAAAATTCTAAGGCAAAATTATAAAAAATTGAGCTCTTTTGATCAACGAAAGATACCGAGTTAAAATGTTCCAAGACCGGAACATTTGAAAAGCAGTATACTAAAAAAATATAACTCAATCAATACTCACTGCAGTGAGTGACAGAGGACGGACAGACGGACGGACGGACGTACGGACGGACGGACGGACAGGTTGAGCACAAAAGCGCTTTTTATGTGTAAATGAGAAAATGCGCTAAAAATGACGCTCTAACCGCTAAAAAGATACCGGAACTCGGAGTTGTGCTTCAACTTGTTATTCTTGCGGAGGTGTCCAAACGATTCAGAAGAAATTGCCAGAAAGTTCAAAATTTCAGTAATTTTTTCAATGAAAACTTATTTTTTCTTCATCTCCGGGAATTTTTTGTACAAATTACAATAACAATGACAAATTTTATTCGTGTATAAATATTGTCTTATTCTAAATGCAAGGGAAATTGATTAAATTATTAAAGCCTTATTTAGAGGAAATTATGCTAATACCAGAATTGGTAGTAATGAGAATTATTTATATCTATCTAATAAATATATAATATATATATTTATTATATATTTATACATATAATAAATATATAAATATATGTAGGTCCTTTAGGATAAATATGTCCTAAGGTAATAAAGATATTTACTAAGGAAAGTCTCTCACAGAGTCCAGCACCAGTGCTGTTCCTGTTGATGCTGGTAGTGGCTGGCGTGTCTGCCAGCGACCTGCCCCAAGAATTTGCAGTGGAACAAATAAATGAAGGTAATACGGAAGAGCTGGTCCCGTATTAACTGCAATTTGAAATTTAATCATAAACGTGCCTGGATGCCAGTGATGTGCCCCAAGATATTTAACTGTAACTAATACGAGTAAATAAAAGTAATACGGATCGAAGGGCTTTGTCCGTATAAAGTGTATACGGAAACAGAGGTATAACGTGCATGGATGTCAGTAGATAGCGAAGAATAAATTGATTTTCCGAGAAGGAAATAAGGAAAACGAAATTTTGGAATTCGTTCATAGTGTTTAAAAGATGGTTGAATCATCGAATTCCAAACCTAGCGATCTTAATAAACCTTCGATTGATGAACTTGTTTCAATAATCATCGTTTATTTTTCCCTCAATCAGGTAATTAAAAAAATTATTGTACGTGTTTGTTAATTTATGTTTGAGACTTTTTGACGAAAGCATACTGGGAACTTCTGAGCGATGCATTAGCAGTAGATCATCGTCAACCATGCATACCATAAAAAATGTTCATAAGACATTCATGACTCTGAGACAGGAGTCGTCTAGGACTCGGGGAGTACGTAAATCAGCCGCTTATGGCCGCTTCGGTTCAGGGTTTGAAGAGCAGCCTCTGGCTGGGCAGCTTGAAAGCTAGGCATGAATCGGCTCGGTCAAACCGTTTCCGACTCTCAGGCTACCATAGAGTTTTAGTGAAGATTCTAACCAGAAAATTATTCCGATCTGGGGCCATACTTTCAAAACTCGCTGAGTGAACGTAAGTACTTACGTACTATTTTCTTGTCTACGATTGGTGGATTTTGCTTGAAAGGCAGTCAATGATTGGCTGATGAACTTACGATCTCTTGACTTTTTTTGAAAGTATGGGTCCGGGTGGCCAAGCAGACCCAGAAAAACTTAGCGCCAAATGTAGCGACTTTTTGGGCGAAGCCGTGGCGGTTATTGATAGGGAATAAGAGGTGCCAGGATAAAATGCAACGTCGTGATAACCTGACATACTGGGTTATAGTGGTATTTATAAATTACATGGCATGATTTTATCCTCCGTATTTCCTCAGCCGGGCGGTTCCTAGTACTACTTGACCGAGCAACGAGAACATCACTCGTACTCGTCTCTACGACCTCAACTAAGTCCTGTTTCCCAAGTGAGTTCAAAAACATATTCTTTCTTTCTGAAACAAAAATAGCATTTAAATAACACACATTGAAAGGAAATGAAAGACATGAGACGAAAGTTAAAGGTTGTAATCACTTGCTTATTGATGTGATGTTGTAGTTTCGTTCAAATTTTGAAGACCAGCATTTCTCACCCTTTTTAGCGCATTTTCTCATTGATGAAAAAAAGACGCTATTGTGCTCGTCATATCCGTCCGTCCGTGACTTTACGAACGAGAAAATGCGCTCTGTCACTCACTGCAGTTAGTATACTGATCTATTTTTTATCGATCTACTCCTATAAGATCTCGATCAGTCACCCTACTACCGTGTAGCATTATTATTTCATATTTTTCATTATTAAGTAATGTTAGATTTCACTTTTTTCTATCCAATAATTTTTGCGCATTGAGCCGGCAAGTAATTGCGGTCATCCCTTGAATGTATGTTATGTTGGATGCATGCTATGGTAATCTCAACACCTAATAAATCATCCCACACCTCAAACACAACAACATCCAACACGACATACCAAAACAAAAAGAACCCAGCTTCATCAACACTGGCAGGACATATTCACGCAGAACGACACTAACAACGAAGACTTTAATCATGAACAGATGCTCACTACACGGGACAAAATGAGCAAAATACATACGTTTATACACCCATACAACGAAGAAAGCATTTGAGAATCACTGATATACTGCAATTTGTACACTGCAGTTTGGTGAGATGTTTGGTAGCGACAGCTCGAATTTATCCAGTAGGATGCCCATCCTATAGTAATGAACGTCAGTTTTTAAGAATGCCAGCGCCAAATAACAATTTTTATCAAAATATAATTTCAATTAGGGAATCCTGTATTGTTTAGATCACCAAAATAATTTTACTATTTAATTTATAAAGAGATTTATAAAGAGTTTCGGTACAACGACCACTATGGTTATCCTTTTGAAAAAAAATGAGCCAATTATTTACAATAACCGTTCGTCAGCTGACGGTAACTCATGTTACGATGCATTTCGGTACGAATAAAATTGATGGCTGTTATAATATATCCGTTAACAATGAGCTAATTTTCGTGTTGTTTTTAGTTACAGTTAGTACCACTACGATCGAGACGACTGGTCCCGGTGGCCGACAACGTCGCTTCGCACGAGGAAGGTTGGACACCAAGGCAGAGGAACCACCCGCCATGGCGCCGGCTGAACTCGCAGGGTCTCTGCTGGAAGATTACTTAGCAATCCAAGCCAGGGGCGGGAAGTTTCTTCTAGGCTTCCCGACTGTGACGCTGAATTATAGCACTCGGTCAACGGCTACACTACTATCTATATCAACGACCATCCTCAACTCCCAGGAATTAATATCCTTCGTGACAAATCTTCCAAACGGTGTCTTCACGGCTTGCATTCGCTGATGAAACAGGTAAATGTTGGTCAGTGAATCTCCAATTTATTTTAATTGCCTAGATTTTAAATCATACCTTTATTGTTAGTGTTGACAAGCAAACAGCTTCTGCCTTTCACAATTTTACAAATTCGTGTAAAAAATGTGCATGAAAATAACTACATAACGATTTTTGATTGATAGTAATAAATCACACATTGAGGTCCTTCAGGACCATACACTTCATTACCCACTGTTTTTGTATTCGCGATGTGTTGTTCAGCTCAATAGTTCAAATCTTATACTGAGATTGTAACGAAGAAAACAATTTGAATCCCATCGTATTCTATATCTTTGGTTCTAGCAATTGCACCTGAAGAGAAACGGAACTTGTCAGCTATTTTTTTAATTTTAATGTCTCCAGATTTTTGCTCGCGAGCAGTGTAATCAAGAAGCTAATATATACTTCTGGAATCAATTAGGCTAATAATTATAGCGTCAACTGGCGAAGCCTGAGGATCCCCAACTTGCCATGGTTGAATGCCATGGCAAGTTGATCAAGTTGCAACATCCAACATATGTACCTGTCGGCTACTATCAACATACGAGGCTATAATTATATTGCGACCGTATTTTTTCAAGTTGATACGTAAATAATTGGCTAAATAAATTGATTTAATGTTTTGCATTAATAGAAGGCTCTGAGGAAAGATTAGTAGCGTGTGGCAACTGTAGCTGAAAGTTGCCAGTAATCGACTTTATAGCGGTTTCAGCGTTCATTAGGCAGTAGGCCTGTCGCCGATTCTTTACATCGCAGAACATTCAATGGATTTTGCGGACTAGAACTCGCAACTCACTGCATATAGGACATTAAAAACTATCGAGAAATAAATCTTATTCTAGGGTAAAGGTAGGGGACGCCCATGGGGAGGTTGCCTGCTAGGATATATAAAGCGATAGGTTCGATGGATAGAACAGATTATGTGTATAGAAGGCAGTAAGCGCAGACGCTCTCTGTTCGTGCTGGCTGACTCCATTTGAGGTTCTTCGACAGAGCAAAAAGCTTATGTTCAATGCGTCCGAGCCGTTTACAAAAGCCATAAGATTGACGTGTAAAAAAACCGGCCTTAAGATAGAGAGAAACTTTAACTTTCTTCGGAGGCCGTATCATCAAAACACGCTGAAGTATACGTGGTGACCGATTTCTAATTCATGATTGTTGGGCTTGGCTGTCAGTAATGGTCTGACGGGGTTTGGAACTTGTAAATACTCTAGGTAGTACAGTCCCTAGATTCAACACAGTTCACATTTTTCAAGCAAAATTGCACATGAGCAACTAGCAGATTTTAACTTTTTTTTCACGAGTGGTCCAACTGAGACCCGTTGACCTCTGTTTCGAATATTGCAGAGGCTCGCCTCACTTCAAACTTCAAACCCCTGGCAGATTATTTTGAAATAAGATTATTTACAAGTTGATTCTATCTATACAACGTTAAATCAACGTTATTTTTTCATTTGATGTTCAATGTGTTTGTTTCTACCTGATTTTCGAGCAGTGAGACGGAGGCTTCGGCCATCAACCACCACTCCATTCCATCATCGACTTGATGTATCATCACATATACTTTATTTACTCGGGCTCCTGTATTATTGAATTTTCGTAGTTCGGATAGGTATTCCACAACATGAAAGATCTATAATTCGGCTCTTTCACAGATTCCGCTTATTTCTTCTAAAAATAACTGCCGGGCCCTCCCATGGATGACACGCAAAAGAAGACATCGAAGCAAAGACCGCGGCTGACGTCAATTTTTCTTGTCTCCTTTCATCCATGAAAGGGAAAATCATCTGAAAAATTTGGGGTAGTCCAAATCTTGCAAGATTTTATACCCTATTGTGAACTTTGCCAGGTGCCGTACTATCACTAGAACTTTGTCCAATTAGCTATAGATTTTTTACTAGTGTGCGGGTAATCCTGACACAGTTTGGTCTGGCGAAGGGGCGTATCAGTGCTACGTCCGTTCTCTGCTCGTGCCGTGGGTAGTAAGGAAGCGTGTCACCATTTGGACAATATTACCAATTTACTTTTCTGAATGTCACTACAGAGACAGAATGGCGCACTGGTTTGACGATCGTGACCCGTTAGAAGGATTCAGGAAAGGTTACGGGACATGGCAGGTTAGGAAATTAAACTTAATTAGGAAAACATCTTCTGTATCCTTAGAATATGTTCCGGACGTAGCAGTCACAGGCCACGCTGGAATATTGCCTATGCGTTGTGTTCATCGGAGTTGAAAATGCCCTTGTTGATTCGCCTCATTAATATAAGTAGAGAATATGTTTGGTGTATTTTCTACCATAGCCTCTGTATCTTTTCCTTTGATAGTTTAAAATAATGAATAATTTTGACCTGCTTAATTTTAACCGTTGCCATTTCCCTTTTCAGATGAAATACTTCGCTTCTTTTATTGCGCAATATTGTAAAACACCTCATACGCGAAATAAATGCGAAATAAAATTGAATTTATCATATTTTCTATAATCAAATTTGTACAATTGAAGCATCAAAGCAAATGGCATGAAAAGTGCATCAAGTGAAAGTCTGTCATCATATTCTGCTCCAACAGTCAGAGAAATGAGTGAGACAGGTCCAAATAACGATGCATTTTTACCCTCAAATGGGTCATCCTGATACAGTTTGCCTCAGCAACAATGGTATAAGTGCTACTAGCATAGGGGCGTCCCTACTTGGACAGGATGACTCATCACTTTTCTCAGTGTGTATGTCCTCTTTATTAACCATCTGCTACTGTGGCAGCTGCATTTCTATGCGGTCTAAAAAATAGATTTCTCCAGAACTCTTCCCGGACTTGTATATGGGAACCGGGGCCATACTTTCAAAACTCGCTAAGTAAACGTAAGTACTTACGCTCTATTTTCTTGTCTGTGATTGGTGGATTTGCCTTGAAAGGCCGTCAATGATTGGCTGATGAACTTACGATCTCTTAACTTTTTTTGAAAGGATGGGCCCAGGTTACTAAATATGGGAACTGGTTACTAAAGTGTGACTGAAAATTTTTGGTTTGAAGTCTCTATAGGCCCTCGTAAATATAAATCGACTTCAATGGGAAAATCTACCGTACTATACGATAAAAGCGACAATGACTTTTCTGGCAAATAATATTTTTGAACTAATTTTGTGTTGCATAAACGTGGAGCAATAATATTTATTACAGGAATTTCAATCCAAATTGCATATGAAAGCATCATAAACATTAATCAATTAGATTAATTCCATGATTTAAGAAAAATAATCAAAATCCTTTTTAAAGATAAATATTTTTTCGTCACGAAGATGAAATTTTTGTCGTAATTGGTATTATCTACAATTAATAAACATCTAACTTTAATTATTTTATGCGAAAACACACTGGCGCAAAAATAATTTCATTCCCTGCAGTACCAACTGATTTCCTGTCACTTTAGTAACCTTACCCCTTTGCAGGAACCCATACAATAATCAGAGGCGTGACAGCTTCTGATTCGAGGAATCAGAAGCAGAGACTCATCTAAATTCTGATTGTGAAATACATGTGTTATTTACCCATGGGTAAAAAATACATGCGTGAACTACGCCGATGCTGGAAAGGCATGAAATTCCCTCATACTTGGTTCATTAATTGATTTGACTACAAGGGAGAGCAGGATGTGTAAGATTGCAGTTTGTTTGTTATCGCTTCTTTCTGTAAAATCATATTTACTATAATCATATACAGGGAAATTAAATATCTCTTTTATGTATTACAGATTATATCAATAAAAATGTAGAAGTGTGTGTGCTTCAAAGTTAATAGCTATGGGTATGAAGAATCGAATTAATATTAATTTAATAATAATTAGATATAATTTGATTGAAATATTATTTTATCAATCGCAATAAATTGACTGGTTTTGTGAATTAAGCAATACCCTCTCTACAAAAAGTTTTGGTGTCTCTGAAATTCGCCATGTAGTAATATATCTAAATTATTCTTCCTGAACCAACTGCAATATTTTAATTTTAACTAATTTAATTGTGTTTTAGTTTTTCCCCTGAATTTCATGCACGAGTTGAAAGAACATGTTAAAGGCGAAATACGCTTAAACAATAATTGGACGATGTTATGTAATTGAATGATTTTATCATCTTAAGAAACGCGATTGAAATTTACAAAATTTCATTGAAATGTTTTAATACTGAAGGCCCTGGCAGGTCAAAGGGAACGCGTTGAACTGTATTGAAACACAGCTCCGAAAGATATTACCGTATCCAGCGCCGTTATTCATGTCAACATCCCGGAAAGAACGCTACTTAACATCAAGGAAAACTTGAGGTAGAAGTGATAAAAACTTCAGGCGACTAGCCCTGTACTCTTAAGGTAGTCCAGGAATAATCGTATAAAAGTAGGCGTGCGAGGCTCACAATAGCACTTTTATAACTGCGACAACAAGCTGCTGGCCGCTGAACTCTTCTAGTGCACAATGGTGAGTGAGGCCTTTGAGAGGACATTTTCTGGCTTTTGAGAAGATATGTCGAGGTTTTTGAGGAGATATTTTCAGGTCTTTTGAGAGGATATTTTTAGGCATTTGCGGGGATATTTTCAGGTCTTCTGAGATGATATTTTCAGGCTTTTTAAAAGAATATTTTCAGGCCTTTTAAGACGACATTTTCAGGCTTTTTAAGAGGATATTTTCAGGCCTTTTAAGAGGAAATTTTCTTGCGTTCGAGTTCCCGACTTTTTAATTAATTGTCTCTTGAACTAATTCACTTGGAATTTGTTCAAAACTTAATGTAATATTTTGTTTGTTAGACAAGCGTTCGAAGTTTAAATTATATTTAACTCATAGAATAGTTCATGATAGTTCCACTAACTTAAGGTCTGATAACGCAAGGAGGGATACAATAATAGTGGTGAATAGTCGATCACAGAATTCATGAAGATGCTACGTCATTGTGAGTTGTAGTGACTGGA